CCTGCCTGAGAAGGGGTTGGACTTGATGACCTCCAAGGTCCCTTCTACCTTATTATTATTATTATTATTATTATTATTATTATTATTATTATGGATCATTTGCACAGTCAACCAGATGTTCAGACTGGATTTGGCATTTTGTCTACCTATCGAGTCCTTACCCGGGACCTGGGATAGGCAGATGTGGATGTTTGATGGTATTAGAGATATCGTCGCAGGATGGAAGCAGTTCTTAGTAAGGCCGCCTTTTGCAATTGACTAATAGAGAATTTGTCAATGCCAATGGTGTTCAAGTGGTGCTCCAGTTGTTTTGGGATTGTACCCAAGGAGCCTATCACTATTGGTACTACCCTTGCTTGCTTTTGCCACAGTCTTTCTATTTCTATTTGTTAGTCTTTGTATTTTGTTATCTTCTCCAGTTCTTTCTCGTCTATTCTGCTGTCTCCAGGCACTGCCACTTCCACTATCCAGACTTTTTTGTCTTTCTTATCGACAATTGTTAAGTCTGGGGTGTTATGTTGCAGGTGCTTGTCTGTTTGAATTCTGAAGTCCCAGAGCAGTTTAATTTTATCATTTTCTATGACTTTCTCTATTTTATGATCCCACCAGTTTTTGCTTACAGGCAAATGATATTTTTTGCAGATCTTCCAATACACTATTGTTGGTACTTTGTCATGCCGCTGCTTGTAGTCAGTCTGTGCAATCTTCTTGCAACAGCTTACCAGGTGGTCCACTGTTTCTTCAGCTTCTTTGCATAGGCAGCACTTACTGTCTGTTGCTGTCTTCTCAATTTTGACTTTATATGCATTTGTCCTTAAGGCTTGGTCTTGTGCAGCCAGAATTAGTCCCTCGGTCTCTTTCTTCAATTTTCCTGCTCTTGGCCATTCCCAGGTCTTGTTATTACTAGTAAACATGAGCCACTGCAAAAGGATACCATAATCATTTGTAGCAAAAGTTCATGAGGGTTAAGGCACACATCCTTTGGGCTCCCATGATTTTATTAATACTTACCAGGTCACATCATTACAAGCTTTTGAATAATTTTCCTTGAAAAATTTAACTTCAGAAACAAAGGTTTCGATATTGGGGGAGGGGTTTTGGCAAAATGTTTAGTTCTGCTAGAAGTCTTGACTTCTATTTCTCTTTCTTGATAGTTCTTAGTAATCTGATTTGCTATATTTTTCTTAATGTCTAGGAAACCTTGGGTGCTTGTTTTTTCTCTATAGGTTTGTGATAAAATATTATGTTAGAATCAGTAGGATTTATCCTTTTATCCACTTAACATGATAGCAACTTAAATTGTTCTGGGTTATTCCATAATTATTTTATTATGACATAAGCAAGTAATGAGCGTAACAAGCAGAAAATCTGAAGTGCAGTCACCATATAATTCACCTAGGCATATGGAAGTAAAAGTATTTCTATCTTTTGTAAAGCAGTGTTGTTGCTCTTTCAACTATGATTCATAATGGACAGAATGAACAAACTTCATTTAACTCAGCAGCTAAACCTGTTCTTTATTTAAAACATGTATAGCTTTTCCTGCCATAGGAAATTCTTGCATTTCACTGTATTCTAAAATACATGTCTACATTTGATGGTTTGGGTTAATACCCTGTCAGGCTTTCACTTTGGTTGAATAAGATAGCAACAATACTGGGACTTTCAAATAAGCAGGAAAATGTATCAGTGTGACATTTCAGACTGCCAACTCCAACTATTATTATTATTCTTTTCTTTTCTTTTTCTCACTATTCCTCCAAGCAGCATTTTCCCCCACAGTAAATAGCTGTGGAAATAGCTCAGCCATGTCATCTAGAACTATGGACAGAGGAGGCATTATTTAGTGCTTCCCAAATATTTTCCTTCATTATCCAAAACTGCTTATTAAAAAAATCCTTTTTACCCAGTGTAGGTAACCTACTTTAGGTAGATCTAAATAGTCCTTTATTGGGTTTGCGTGTCATTACCCAAATTTGACCCAGTTTAGGGTAATCTACACAGAGTTTGGAAGTACTGACCTAGATACATGTGAGCTGAGAATGCTGAGGCAGCTAGGCCAACTTTCAGCTGCAGCTCAGAGAAGCACAGGTTAGCATAGCCAGTGGGAAAGGGCCAAGATAGAGCATGCTCTGAGTGCAGCACAGAGAATTTAATACATATCAGCTACAAAGATTCTAAGCTACTTAGTCACATTCACTAACAGTGTACAGAAACTGAGAGCTCAAATTGTCCCTAGACAAATAAAAAGTCGACTTAAAACTATTTAACTCACAGAGAAACAACTAGTAGATCAACCAACAGATCGAAAGACACACATTCAAAAAGTTAAATTCAGATATAATTAGAATACAATCTAAAATCTCTTTGGTAGTTTATATTAATAAGAGCTCAGATTATGGAAAACACTGGCCTCTAGTGGCTATTCCTTTCCTGTTTTAATTCCCTTTCTACCAACCTCAAGAAACTCTGGTTTTCATTTACAGATGAGCCTATGGAAGTACTTCTCCCATGAGAAATTTAAAGTTCCTCTTGTGCTTTTATTTATTGGAAAGGGAGACACAATTGTGATTTAAAAAAAAATATCCTTTTGTGTTAAAAGATTTCGGCACTTGTTTGGGTAGGAATCCTTCTCCTTTCTTTTGTCCTTGTGTCTTTCCCATCTCTTTTGACTGTAATGACATTTGTATGCTTGTATTTTAGATAGTGTCACCCTCTCAGCCTACAGCTGAAGTTAACTAACTTCATCTACCTTTGAGCCAACATTAAAGTGATACCGGTAGTCCTCGACTTACTATCACAATTGAACCCAAAAATTCTGTTGCTGAGAGAAACAGTTGTTGAGTTTTGTTTCATTTTATGACCTTTCTAGCCACAGTTGTTAAGTGAATCACAGTAGTTGTTAAGTTAGTAACATGGTTGTTAAGTGAATCTGGTTTCCCCATTGACTTTACTTGTCAGAAGGTCACAAAAAGTGATCACATGAGCCTGGGGCATTGGAACCGTCATAAATATGAGTCAGTTGCCAAACATCTGAATTTTGATCACATGACCATGGAGATGCTGCAATAGCCGTAAATGTGAAGAACTGTCATAAGTCACCTTTTTTAGTGCTGTTATACTGTAACTTCGAACAGTCACTAAATGAACTGTTGTAAGTAGAGGACTACCTGTACTTAAGTGCAAGGCAGTGAATAACAGACAGAGTTCAAGCATTTCCACTATTAGGAAATAAGCTAACTTCTCTTTCTTGCACTGGCCTTTTCACTTTCAGTTAGTTAACTGTGATATTAACTGTCTTAATGATAGTGTTTGCCTATGGGGAGTAGGCGTGAGCTTAAATGGGCTCCAGAAGATGGTAGAGGACAGGAAGGCCTGTAGGAACATTGTCCATGGGGTCGTGATGTGTTGGACACAACTTCGGAACTAACAACAACAACATGGGAAGGAAGTATGTATGTATGTATGTATGTATGTATGTATGTATGTATGTATGCATGCATGTATGCATGTATGCACGTATGTATGTAAAGTAGAGCCAGTTTGCTATAGTAGTTATAATCCTTAGATTATAAATTAGGAAACCATGAGTCCTAGTCCTATCTTAGGCACAAAGCCATTTTAGGCCAGTCACTCTTTTTCACCCACGAGAAGCAGGCAATGGCAAACCATTTCCAAATTTTGCCAGGAAAACTGCTGGGACTTGCCCAGGCAGTCATTAGGAGTCAACCTTCTGATTTGTAGGCACAAAAAAATAAAAAAACAAAGAAAAACAAAAGAAAAACAAAAGTAACTTATGTAAAGAAAAAAAGAGAAAGAGTCAGATTCCCTTATGGCTATAATGGTCTGTAGAAAATACTTGGCCCTGATTTTCTTCTCATGTAGTTTCATAGTTCTCACATTAATGGAGACCCCTTATTGATAGGGATGACATATAAATTTAATACATAAAATACTAAATGGTGGCAGTATGGCAATTTTTTACACCTTACCTACATTACATGTATAAGAGCTCATGTTTAAAGTGTTTATATTAAATGAATAAGACATTAATAATACCAATAGGATATTCCTTTCTGCTGTAAAAAGATATTGCAAATGCAATGTAATAATCATTTAGACATTTTATATTATTGAAAGAAAAATTTTCATCAAGGTCCAGTCCAAGCTGGGAATAAACAAAATGGAGACTGCTTTAGAAAGAATGTTGCAGTTTATTGAAGAGCAGAGCTAGACAGAAGCGTGGCTCTGGGAAAGCTGACTACATATAGTAGGGAGTGGTGGATTTTTATACCTTCTTGAGCTTTTGTTTGGAGTTGTTCCTGTGGCATGAACTTTGTCTGAGTGTGCCTTTCTGGTATTCTGATGGTGGTGGGTTAACCCTATTATGTCCCAAAGGTCATATCCTGCTTCCCTGGGGCTGTGGCTGATGACTGTTGGATTTTTTGGTGTGAGGGATTGTTGATTCTAGGGATCTTTGTCTTTCTAATCCAAGCTTCTTGGCTCCAATCTTTCTGACAAGATTATCACATCTGCATTTCTGCAGACCTGGTTTCTGTTTGGGGCAGAGAGACTTGGGGGCGGAGGTTGGTTTCTGCCTTTAAAATCCTTTGGGGAAATATATTCTGCCTTTTTAATATTTCCCAAAATATTTCTTTCTCTGGATTCTTCCAACAATATGTTTATTGTGTAGGCATGTAACCTCTCCTGAAGTAATGTTGATATTATTGTTTCATTAAAATCTTGTTATATCATGGACTGCCAAGAATAGTAATATATGAATGCAATATATGAATCTTGGAGTTAATAAAAAATTATCTCAAACATACAATGCCCCTCTCTATTATAATTCGTCTCACTGGGATAAAAAATTGTTCAAGGATTACATAACAATTACAACTTAATTTTGTATGGAGAAATAAAATCTTATTTATTATTAATTTTAATTGTATTACCATGGAAGGATTTCCTTCTTTTTGTTTCTTTGTGTTATACACTACCTTTTCTTAGCTTAGTGTTTCCTGTTACATGGGCATATGGCTTCCATCATCTGTAGTTCATCTGACCAAAGAACTTCAACATATAACTCCTTTTTTATGAACTTGTAATCCCTTAATTCTGGGTTGAGTTGGGGTGGTGAGATAGAGCTGAGCGTTTGCTGGCCAGATGCCCTTCCTGATGCCACATAGAATTCACAGCAGATAATTTTGCTACTATTTAGGAATGAACTCTCAACCTTCCAAGTGGCTGGCAAGCATCTTCAATATATCTGGAAGGTAAAAGTTAAACAAGATTGTGTTGTAGAATTTTTGCCAAAGAAAGGAGCACAGCGTGGAGGAGAAATGGCAAATTTTATTCAGTGATCAATGCGTGCCTGCTTTACAAGAAAAATGGACCCTGAACAACGGAAAGACAAAGAACACCATAGATTTTGGGGTTAAGAGATAGGAAATATGAACAAGTTGATTGGTGGATACATTTTGAACAAATAAGATAGGTGTTTAAACAAAGGAAAATATATTTGTTGACCAAAGTTGCTAAAAGGATGGAATGTTGAGACAATCAAGCATGCACACTTGATTAGGATGGGATATTTGTGGTTTCTCATCTGCTGTTCCTTGGATGATTTTTTTAGGTGTGGGGTTTTCATTATTTCCTTTGTGATAGGATTAAAAGGCTGTTTTGGAAGTGGAAACATAGCCATGTTTGAATTATACATTAGCTTGGGCCTGTCTAGTTTACATACACAAGTGTGTATAGGGTGAGCTAGGACAAGAAAGCGGGGGGGGGGTGGGCAGAAAAGAGGGGAATGGGAGTTTGGAGAAGACTTTGCATTCGTATTTTATTATTCTTCCACCACAGTTGGTATGTATGAGATATGATTCATTCTTCAAATATTAGTCTTCAAGTACTCAAAACAGCAGCATAGAGAGATCAACAGGCTCAGGATACACCAAGATTGAAGAAGTATGACTATAAAAAAAATTAAAGAAACTAAAGTAATGTGGGTATAATAGAGGAAGAAGAGGTTGAGGAAGAAGGAGGAGGGGGAGGGGAGGAGAAGGAGGAGGAGGAGGAGGAGGAGGAGGAGGAGGAGGAGGAGGAGGAGAAAGAGGTGGTAAATAAAGAATAAATGTTTTTTCAGTAGCATAACATGCTCATTTAATACTGAAGAAAAAATCGAGAGCCTTCAATATTGAAGAAAACATTGAGAGCTTTGGTGAAAGGGTAAACAGAATGGATGGTTTTCCATTCTTTTTTATTGATGGGGTCATTTATGATTCCTCTGGTCCACTTGAGTTTGTGTTATATTCAGAATATGTTTGGAGATTTAAAAAATAATAATTCCAGAATTGTGGGTTTTACAACTTTTACATCGTTATGCTGATCGGCTTAAAAGGCTTTAGAATGTTATCTTTTCTCTAATGTTGTGTCCTTTTTCCATTTGGATAATAAAACACAATTTTGCAGTAGTGGCTTGGCACAACATCCTGACTGGAATGTTCATGGCAATGTTTGAGCTAAAATTCTCTTTGATCTCAAAAGTAATCAGTAACAGGCATACAATGCATATTAACTAGTTTACCTTCAAAATGAAAACCTACCTACCTACCTTCCTTCCTTCCTTCCTTCCTCCCTCCCTCCCTCCCTCCTTCCTTCCCTCCTTTGAGCTTTATCAGAATAAATTACTAATTTTACGCCATCATTGTGGTTAAAAAGAGGGTCTAATGCCACAAAAAAGTGGTAGGAAACTGCACACCCACCCATATCATAATATTTATAAGCTATTAAGAGGCACCAATGTTTTTCCTCAAACTGTGATGTTTTTTCCCTAAAGAACCTACAGTGGTACATCAAAGTATTGAAAAGAGCTGTTTTCTTCCACTCTTTGAGCTACTTTTTCCTCTTCTAACATGTATTGCTCTGTCCCAGCAAAGCATGAGCAAGAAGAGCAAGAACCAGAAGTTTGTATTTTCCTCTACATCAGAAGTGATAAAAGAGGAAGTAAAGAAGAAGAATATAAGAATACCAAAGAATACAACATAATACAAGACAGAAAAAAAGAATATTGAAGAATACAGTAAGGCAAAGAAAGAAAGACCTTTCATCCCTTGTGCCAGTCAAGGAACTCCAAAGAGATGATGATGGATGGTGTTGTGTCCTGAGCCTGTGAAGGCAGGCTCGGGACGTTGCAATGGTCCCGGGCAGTTGCAAGCTGCCCGGGACCAGACTGGCTGTTGCCAGCACTCGCGCACATGCGCGAAGTGCAAGCGTGCCAAATGTTGCCATTTGGCCCGGGGATCGCCTTTAAAAGGAGCAGAGGAACTTGGGCGTTGTCGGCGTTGTAACCAGCATGCTGTATATCAATAAAGAGGCTCCTGAGAACTACCAACTGCTTCATGAATTATTTTCCATTTGCTGAGGACTTAATACTGGCGACGAGGGTGGGATGCCTTACAACGATTGCAGACAAGTTGTAAGCTTACCCTGGAGTCCTGAGCAGCAGGAAACGGCGTTAAACTCAGCAGCTGCCTGCCAATTCAGCAAGTGTTGGGGGTAAGCTGGCTGATAGGCCCTTCCTGTACTACTGAAAGATGGAAAAATAGGTAGAATTTCCGAATTCGATGTCACACATCCGGAAAGATGGGAATCTTATGAGGCCAGAGTAGAAAACTATCTTAAGGTCAATCAAGTGAGAGAAGATGGCTTAAAAGCCACCACCCTGCTGTGCGTTTGCAGTCAAGATGCATTTGAGATTGCTGAAAACCTAGCAGCACCTGCACCTCTAGAATCTGTTACCTACACAGACTTGAAGAAATTGCTAAAGGAACACTTCCAGCCCAAGTTGTCTGTCATCGCTTGGTGCCACACTTTTGAACAGAGGGACCAACGGCCCGGCGAATCAGCTAAAGAGTACATTGCTGCATTGAGAAAAGCCGCTAAAACCTGTGAGTTTAAAGATTTAGAAGAAAGGCTGAGAGACAGATTTGTATGTGGACTGAGACATAGAGAATTGCAGCAGAGACTTTTCGCTAAAGAAGACTTATCATTCCAAGATGCCTTGAGAGAGGTTACTGCAGAAGAGGCAGCAGGTGGCGCAATCAAGAACATGAGGCCGATCAAAAGTACTCCAGAAGCTGTGTCCGTGCACCAGGAAGGAGTCCAAGGGAGCTCAGAAGAGGATCCTGATGAAGAAGTAGACCGTCTCTACCCAACAAAAGAAGGGAAGCAGAAGGAAGGCAAGGGAAGTTCTTCAGCTATCCCCAAGAGCTTCGGATGTGGAGGTCGTCACAAGAGGACCGACTGCAGATTTCGCTCTGCTATCTGTAGAGCATGCGGAAAGCAAGGCCACATTGCAGCTGTGTGTCTGGGCCGTCAGAAGGTACAACCCCAAGAAGAATTGCACCTGAAAGGTACCAGGGTCCCCAGCCAAAACAGGGTGGGTTTCTGTGCTTCACGAAGAAGCATCTATAGGACAGGCACACACAAGCCCATTAAGAAAAAGCTGTCACTTAAGGTGAAGTTACAAGGGGTTCCATTGGTCATGGAACTGGACACTGGGTCTGCACTTTCAATCATTTCCATACATACATTCAGAAAGATTTGTTCTGGCAGTGGATTTCAGGCCAAGCTTAGGCCTTCTGACATTGTGTTAACAGACTTTCAAAACTCCAGAGTGTGTGTTAAGGGGGAGGCCACCCTTAACGTACAGTATAAGGATTTTGTATTGGTAGTAGGGGGTGAGCGAACGAGTCTCATAGGACTCGATTGGTTTGAGGCCTTGGGAATACATGTCACAGGGCTCAATAGCTTGCAAACAGTAGACCTACAGGAAGTCTGCAAAGAATTTGCAGATGTCTTCAGCCCACAGCTGGGCACATACAAAGGACCCCCTGTGTCTTTAAAACTAGACCCCACTGTCACTCCTATTAGAATAAAAGCAAGAAGGGTCCCTTTTGCTCTAAAAGGGAAAATTGACACTGAATTGGACAAATTGATTCAGCAAGGAGTCTTAGAACCTGTTGACTCCAGTCCTTGGGAGACCCCCATTGTCACGCCTCTTAAGGCTAATGGGGACATTCGCATCTGTGCAGATTACAAATGCACTCTGAATAAGGCATTGCAGCAACATGCCTATCCTGTACCTGTGGTCAGTTATATTCTGGCCTCCCTCAAGGGGGGGCGTGTTTTTGCAAAGCTTGACTTAGCTCAGGTGTATCAACAGTTGCCTGTTGACGATGCTGCTGCTGTAGCTCAAACCATTGTAACCCACAGGGGGGCATTCAAGGTAAAGAGGCTACAATTTGGAGTAAATGTGGCTCCTGGAATTTTCCAAAGCATAATGGAAAACACACTACGGGGTATACCAGGGGTTTGCCCCTATTTTGATGATGTCTTAATTGCTGGAGACTCTACACACAACTTAGCTGAGAGATTAAGGGCTGTTCTGCTGAGGTTCCGGAAAACGGGCCTCAAACTCAAGAAGGACAAATGTAAAATTGGAGTGCCTTCTACAGATTTTCTGGGATTCAAAATCGATGCTACTGGGATTCACCCTGCTGAGTCCAAATTAAAAGCTATAGTGCATGCTCCTAGGCCAAAGTCCAAGGCCGAACTAAAGGCCTTTCTGGGCCTTTTGAACTTCTACAACTCCTTCCTTCCAAACAAGGCTAATGTAGCCTAACCACTTCATGGGCTCCTGGACAAATAGGCAGTCACAAAAACATGAAGCAAGTTTCAAAGAGGTTAAGGCCTTACTCACTTCTAACAGTGTGCTTGCACATTTCAATGAGTCCCTTCCTGTGTGCATTGCTTGTGATGCTTCTCCTTATGGGGTGGGAGCAGTACTAAGCCACCTCATACCGGATGGAACTCAGGTTCCTGTTGCATATTACTCCAGAACCTTGTCTTCTGCAGAGCGAAATTATGCTCAAATAGACAGGGAGGCTTTAGCTGTTGTTGCTGGAATCAAAAAGTTCCATGTTTTCTTGTATGGCAGACATTTCACGGTCTTCACTGACCATAAGCCTTTGTTGGGGCTGTTTACCACACATAAACTAACCCCCCAAATCATCTCCCCCAGAATGCTGAGATGGTCAATCTTTCTGTCAGCCTATGATT